GAGCGATATTTACGGAAACAAATATTTCCTTCGATTCGTATCCACGCGTTCGTCGTACACCCAGACTCATGCGAACACGGCCGAATGATTCGCAGTTCTCGCAAATCCCCGGCGTCGTTCCGCGAGCAGGAACAAATGGCGGATATCCGGAAGCGCGGGAGTACTTGGAGACACAGAGCCACGCTGCGGAGAACGCGTGAATCAACCGTGGCCGGGGGATTGAAATCGTTCATTCGGACATTTTCGCGCTGGGAATCGTCTCGGGGCCCGTTGTCGCTGTATCTATACCATGTAATCGCTTGGTTAATACTGCAAATATGTTGTGAAGATTCACGGGATTACCCGGATCGATCGGCCGATGTTTTATGTCGGATTATTTCGCGCAACGAAACTACTTGGTGAGGAAATAAAGAAGATGGATCGTTATAAGATCGTTGGATGATTGTTATGTAGTCTAGGTAATTAAGTGTATTGGATGTTCCAAAATTCAGGCAAGAAGTAATTTTGATAGAAAACAAATTTTCTTTTAATTAAAAAATGTAAATATTGCTCAACAATGAAGACGCGTTGTTCATTTTTGTAGCGCTCTATTTTTAATAAACCTGAACTGTTAGTTGTTACGCTGTCATTTTTCTTTCGTTGGTAATACTTTATCACACAAATGGTGCAAAATTCAAATCTTGCGTGAATTTTCTGACATCCTTCAGTTGATGAGTATAGTGAATGTTCTTCAGTTGTTTATTTTTGCTTCGTTTTAGTCTGTGTGTGTATTTTTTTAATTATTTTAGGAAAATATAGGCAGAAATGGAGAATATTCTGTAATAGCTACTTAATTTCTGACTTTATTTGGTGCTGTGACAAATTTTTATTTGCTTTCGTTTTATGAACATGTATTTAATAATTTTAGGAAAAATAGAGGGTATTTTGTAATAGGTACTTAAGGTATTATTTTATTTTATTTGTAAATTAGCAATTTACGAATTATTAAATAATAATTAGCAATAAATTTGTATTTTGTTTATTCAGAATATTTTTATAATTTAGTTATTGCTATCTTCCTTACGTATTTGCTAATAAAGAAGGTTTCTCGCTATTAATAACCAAGGTACCTTTTGTACAAATATCTACCTTACTCCTTTTTTTATGAAAAATTAAAAGTCAAATATTGCATATATTATCCACACATTTAAATATGTAGGAAATTATTCGATACAGAAAAAAAATGTCGTATATTAAAATTACAAATAATTTTCTAAAATATCAATTTATTTAAATTATAAATATTCCCCAGAAAAGTACTCTTCGAATATTTTTCCTAAATCCACATCCTCCCCAAATTTCTCAAAATTGATAACTATTATTAACCCTCGAGGAACCTTCTTTGGAAACACGTCTAATTTCCTAGGGACTTTTGTGGCACCCAACGACGAGTCACTAATCCCAGCATCGCTCAAACTTCCCCTTTGATATGACGAATCACTATGATATCGCGGTGTGCACGAACAAGAGTGCGTTCGAATCGATTTCGCTACGAGATCGCGATAACTCAGGTGCGTTAATGGAACAAATTCCAGCAGTGTGGCAATGCATAGTACACCGTTTGTAATTTCTTAAATAGCAGTCGTTTAACGTATCGGTTATTTCAAGCGGCCGAGTAGGTGAGCAACTATTTCTTATCTTCCATTCAAGGTGGCGAGCATTGATACAGGCGTACGAGCATTAAAGCCATTCGGATACACGAGTACATAGTGATCTTATCATATCAGACATCGGATACCCGGTTTCTTTCTCACAAGAATGAATCGATTCAGATACGCGGCTGCGTGCCAGCGTTACTCTTTACTGTCGAATTAGACATTGAACTCCAAAGCAGTCCTTTCTCTTTTCTCACTGCGTTCGAGCAGATTTGAATCAATGAATGCATTGAATTCAATTTCGATCGTTCGTGATTAATATCGACGGATCTCCGTTTCTTTCTTCACGGTTATCTGTTCAGATTAATGACTACATGCTAATGTCTAAATCTTCGCTGCGGAGTCAGATGAACGATAAGAGACGAATTATGGTGTTATGGCGAATTGTTAGATAATTTCGTGGTACAGTTCGCTCTTCTACATCACGGTTAATTTGTTCCATCGAAGGAGTGTTAAACGAAACCTGGAAGTAATATAAATCGAGGAATACAGTAAAATAAAAATATTACGTATGAAAGTTGAGCAAATTTATGAAGTGTAAATTATACTGCCATGGAATTGTATTGTGATGTAGAATTATTGTGTTAT